TGACAATCAGTACTCGATTCTGATTTGCTGCTGAAAGATCTGTGCCTTGATTGGTCAAATGTGTTGGGAGAAAACGTTCCCATTGCACTAAAAATATCTCCAGGTTCGCTGGCGATTGGTGGTATGGAATAATCTGAATCCTGATTGGCTGAAACTACTGTGGTTTCCATGGCAACTGTAGTGGGAGGTAACTCTGGTAATTTCTCAGGTGTCATCATCTCAAAGGCGTAGATTTTTCTTGTCGAGTCGTTCACATATCGCAGCAAAATATTGTCATCCTGAAGAAAACATTTAAATTTCTCAGAAAAATTGAGAAGGAGGAAGCTAGTTCTAATTGACTTCCTGGTTAGCAGGAAAGCGTCTTACTCATTGAACCACAATGGCTTCCAGTTTTAAATCAAGAAATGAAGAAACTCACCAGTAAGCGTGAGATGTGACAGTCCAAGACTTCAGCTATGATGATACCCCCAGCAACCCTACCCTCTAACAACCCTCTCCCCTCCCTAGAGTACCTACCAGTAAGCGTGAGATGTGACAGTCCAAGACTTCAGCTATGATGATACCCCCAGCAACCCTACCCTCTAACAACCCTCTCCCCTCCCTAGAATACCTACCAGTAAGCGTGAGATGTGACAGTCCAAGACTTCAGCTATGATGATACCCCCAGCAACCCTCTCCTCTCCCCTCCCTACAATACCTACCAGTAAGCGTGAGATGTGACAGTCCAAGACTTCAGCTATGATGATATCACCGTCAGGTAGACTGGTCAGATCTTTAATTTGTTTCCGTAGTTTAGCCACGTTGTCTGTTTTAAACATGTTTAACAGATATCGAGTTGGAGGGTAGTCTGGTCGCATTATTATCACACCTGCAAAATATTATGAAATGAATGGAGTTTTACATCCTACTTTTCTGCACATTATGGGCTAATGAAGACAGGCAGACTCCATGCAGTGTGCAATGAGGAAAATTTTGTCATGACAGCGGCATTAGCCTGCTCTTTTTCCATTTACAACTGTCAAGGGATCTTTCATGTGCACAGCCTGTAGCAC